TTTGCGGGAAGGGGCGATTCCAAATCTAAAGGGAAAGCAGCGGTTCACCTTGAAAATCTCACTTGCATGCAAAACAGGGGCTAGGGGAGTGCCTGTCTTGCCTAGCAGAAGTTTGCCTGCTGGGAGCAGGCTGCGTTCGCACCCGTCCGCAGAGTCCCGAAGGGTCGGAAGGATCTTTTTTCCTTGGCTGCCTCGCTCCCCGTTAGCCCCGGTACTATGCCTCCCCTGCGGGGTGGGATCTGTAGAAGCCATTAAATAAAAAAATCAAAGCAAGCCGCATCTCCGAGAGCTCCCCCGCTGGATCGAGGGAGGCTGGGCTGGGCTGGCGGAGGCAGTGGGATGCGTGGGCTCTCCCTGCGACGCGGGGAAACCCACTTCCCAGTGGGCACCTGAGTCAGCACTTCCTGCGGCTCACCCGCCAGCGGCGCGTCTCCGGGGGACGCTCCGGGGAAAAGAACAGCTCCGCATGGGAATCCTCCTGCCTTCACTGCTGGCCACAAAGCACCCCGTGTAACAGAGGCCAAAGCAGCTGAAATCAGACATTTCCCTTTTGGTATTTGAGAGGGGGCTTTTAGAGAAAAGGAGGTAAAGAGGTAGCAATCAGCCGCTCCTGTGCTTATTTGGGAGTGGCTGCTTATCCTGTGATGTTTAAGACTGATAAACCAGTTCAGATTATTTCCTAGTGCCGAGCCTTTGAAACCAGTGGAGTTAAATTATGAATCTTTTTGGCCATACGAGAGACTTTTGTATATATTTTTGTGTCAATTCAGCATTTCAGGCTTTCTAGAATATTTGTTGTTTCAGACATTTAAGATCCCACCTGCTAGGCAAAGACAGGGAGGCTGAACACAGGCAAGGAATGCCCACTGCAAGCAGGGAGGAAATCGTCACCACCGCTGCAGTTCTGCTTTCCTGAGCAAATATTCGCCTCTTCCCTCCCAGGAGTCACTCGCCATAGGTAACTTTGCCATTTAAAGCAGCAAATTTCCTTTAGGAAATGCCATGATCAGCAGTGACTTCACCACACACACACACACACACAGACAGCACATGCTTCCTCATCTTTGTTTGCCTGCTCTCTCCTGAATCCTTTCCTGATGTGCTCACCTGCTCCTCTTCTCCTCCCACCTCCTGGCACAACCCAGACTGGCTGTGACTCATTTCAAATACTCTACAGTGCAGCTACCCAGCACAAATATTATTTAATAGTATTACTTTTTTCACAATTTCTGATAGAACAAGCTTTTCTGGGGAAATAACTCTCAATTTTCAAATGTTCCTGGAGATCAAATAACGTGAATTAGGCCAGTGAGAGCAATAAAGGTCTTTTCCCTCTTCTTGTTCCCTCCTCCAGGCACTGGGGATGCTGAGGTGTAAGCACTTGTGCTCCTCAGCTGCAATCAAGTGCCTTCCAAAAGGCTGTGTTTTGATTAACGAGGTGCCCAGCATCCAAAACTGATGCAGCTTCTTAAAGACAGCCCCTGATGTTCCCAGAGAATGACAGAGCAGTAAAGGACGTGCTCAAGGAATCGAGCTGTTTGTTCTCGTTCAGCTTTAGGTATTCCAGCGCTCGGAATATCCCCACACTCCGTTCCCTGGCCTTCCTGGGATGTTCCCAGAGTGCTGCCTTACTTGGTGACACAAATCAGGTCCTCTGACAGAGAACACAACAGGGCAGCTGAGCAGCAGAGTCCTCCTGCAGCACCTCTGCAGCAGGAAGGAAATGCTCAGGAGCACAGACTGAGTCAGGGCCTGGCACTGCTGCACCATTCCAGAAACACCCAGATATCCCTGTGCCTGGAATTCTGGCTGGCACTTCCCAGCCACCACTGCCCAGGCTATACACCACACATACAGACCACAGGCACCTTTACATCTCTCTGTAAAGCATTAAGCTTCGTGGAATCACCCAAGGTGCTCAGTCCAGAAGGTACATTCTTGTGTACCTCTGTCTCCAAGTTTGGGTTCCTAAACACTTCTAAAAACTTACAGGGGTTACAGGTACCAAACTCAGAGGAATTTTTCAAGTCCTTAAAATGTAATGACAATTTTGTGTCCAGAGGACTTCAAAGTAATGATATTTTATTTGAGAGCCTTCTAAGAACTAAGTGCAGGGAGATGGGAATTATCCTTGTCTAATGGTATGAAACTACTATTGTGGACATAATTTATTGCTGGCATTATGGCAGTGCTTTCCATGTCAGCAAATGAACCTTTATAGACATATTTTTAGAATATTTAAGAAAAGCCAGGCCTGCTGGAGGTCTAAGTCTTACCTATCACTGGCTCACAGTACATTCAAAGGGGGTATAGAGAAGTCACCTGTCAGGAAAAGGCAGAACTGTTTTTGAGGGAAGTTATCTCCTTTTAAACAATATTTGTCAGACTCTGCTCCAAGACTTGGCATAGATACAAAGGGAACGGATTTAGTAGAGAGAATGCAGGTGAAGCAGCCAAAGATGCATTTGTTTCTGAAGGAATTTTGCCAGCTCAGATATAGATATATATGGAATATGTATTTATGGAATATATATATATATATATATATGGTGCTATTTTATTAAAAAGCCAGTGCTGCAATGCAAATGTGAAAAATGACGTTCCAAATGAAGCCAGGACTACAGAAGAATAGACTGAGAGCCATCAAATCTGGTATCCTGCAGCTCAGGGAACAGCAGCGGTGCAAGCTGGTCTTTTAGGACCACCTTTGCTTGGGTGAGAGATTCAGCATCACCCTTGAACTTCTAAATTCTCAGATGAAAATGGAGTCAATGAACATGTGGTATAGCTTGGAAGAACAGGAGCAAGTCCTTTCAAAGCTGCCTATTGTTCTTAGCAGGCAGCAAGTAACTCATAATTGGCATTTGAAACTCATGAAATATTCAACACTACAAAACAGGGAAATTCTACCTCAGAGTTTTCCTGGTAGAGTCTGCATTCGCTGCCTCTGCAGCTTATATTATACCTAGAAGATAATGAAGAAATAATAATGATAAATACACAAATCCTATCTCCCCCTCGGCCCTATTAATTACCCAAGTGTGCTGTCACACTGTACTCATTGAAATTCAGCCAGGGCTTTCTTATGGCTCTGTGCTGTTCCTTATGGGAGCTGTAAAGTGGGGGACTGCACTGCTGGAACATGTGCTGAGGCCTATTTAGGGCAGAGCCAAGAGGGCACCTGAGCATCTGTCTGGATCAAGGAAACAGCTGAGCAATGGGAAGTGAGATCCAGGCCGGGATGTTGGGCTCAGGGGAGCCAGCCCACAGGGCAGGGGGACAGGGAAGAGTCCCACAGAGCTGGATGTCAGGATGGAAGGGAAAAGTCCAGCTTTGCTGTGCAAGAATTGTCTTGGGTTTTCAGAAAGAATGGTTCAAAGTCCATCAGTGGGAGCAGAGAGACACTGAACAGATCCCTGACAATGACAGGCTGTGGAGCCTGGCAAGAGAGGCAGCAGCAGGAGAGGAGATACACAACA